GGCCGCGGCGGGATGCTGCTCGGCCGCCTGAGGCTTGGCTCGGGCAGGTCTTGCCGGAGGTGCCGCTGAGTCCCGCTGCCTCCCCGGGGCCTGAGGAAGGAGCCGCGAACATGGGGGGTGGGGGCGAGGGGGGCTGGGCGGCCGCCCGCCCACGCGAGGAAGGAGTCGGCAGAGGCGGGAAGCGCCTGCCTCGGCCCGAGCTGCCGCTGCCTGGTGCCCGCCCCGGGAATGAGAGGTGGGGGCTTCTCATCGCTGCAGCCCTGAGTGGGGAAGCTCCCGCCGCAGGTAAAGGAGGAGGTTTCCTCCTGGGTCGGCCCTGGGGTGTTTATTTCCAAGTAGCTCTCATATGAAAATAGTGTCCCCTGGGCATGAGTCAGGCCCCTCGGCCCGGGGTGACGTGCCCCACATCACTGACCGGCTTCCCTGGTGTGTAAGGGCTGCAGAGGCACTTGGCTCACCCGCCCAGGGGCAGGTAAGGATGGTCAACTCCTGATCCTAGGTCACTGCTGGATCAGCCGGGGGCACTGGCAGAGAGAGTGAGCACAATGATCATCCGTGCTGGTGAATTCTCCCATAGGCAAATCGCCCGGGGTTTACCTAACACTAATATAAAGTGGTACAGATCACTTCATCTGCTCCTTTGCTAAAGTGGAGCCAAATGTTCAAGTGTGACTGACTCAAAAAAGTGAAATAAGAGACCTGATTTTCAGCACTGGTGAGGCCCAGTTGAGTAAAAATAGGAGCTGCAGATGCTCAGTTCTGTAGCTGGATCAATGTGTGCCAACTCCTGAAATCCTACCCAGCCTGCTGTGGTTCAGGCTAGAGCTAGGATAAAGTATGGTGCTGCTGTAAAAGGTAATAATTGGCGCACAGTCTTCAGGAAATAGAGCTGTTATTTAGACATTGCAATTTTAAAGAAAGCTTATGTGAAAGGAGGATGCAGTAGCCACAACCACAGATAACCTCAAGCATAAAAGGTAATTTCTCATAGTGTGTCTGGGCAAAGCTTTAGAAAACAAAGCTTCTGTGTCATCCAGATGTCTGATAGCTTTAGGTGTGTATAGAGTTGCCATAATATATGGGTCTATCAGATAAAATAATAGCTACTAGCTGCAAATTTTTTTTGAACATCCCTATGGACTTGCCTTAAGTGTTTTTGGTGAGCAAGTCGTCGCATTCTTTATTTTCATATTGTATTTTGCCATCATATTTTGCAACAGAATTTTGCATCATATTTTTGTAGCATAATTTGTTCAGTGTTTTGAGTGCTGGCCTTGGCATTATAGCAGTTGCCATCTGAGCCCAGAAAAGAAATATAGCATGTATCCAATCTACCCATAACAGGATCAGTACTGATTCAATATGATTTCATTAATTTCTGTATTTGTAAAACAAAACTTTTTTCTGAAGTACAGTTTTAAAGCTTGGTGCAAGCACTAGGATGCAGTCTAGCCTAGTTGTATGCTATTAAGTATTTAGCTTACTTAGTTAACAGGTCTGGTTTCAGCAGTCCGTTAGGAAGGAAACAGATATAGGGCATTTGATTGTTCTGTGTAGTTCATACTTCAAGCTTGCATTCTGTTTTAAACCATACAGGTAAAGAGTTTCATCTGCTGACAGTGAATTAACTGGCTAATGGGCAGCCCTAGTTTTTTCACATACTTTGAAGTATAGAAACTCCTGATAACAGTATTTAGAACACCCAGGAAGCTTCCATCCACATGGTTCTCTTGGTGGTTACAAAATAGTAGTTGCACAAAACATTACAGATGAAAGATGCAATGTGTGTGTAAACGAGAAAAGCTGGAAATATCAGTTTAAATATCAGTTACAGTTCAGATACTAAGCTTCAGTGTTTATTTCTGCTTTTACATACTTATTCTCCCATTTTAACAATATTTCCTAACAAGTCTTGAAAGCTGTGCTTGCTGTGACATTTAATGTAAAAGTGCAGTTTTGTAACTAGTCACCAGTCTAGCAGGCAGCAAATCAACCTTGTTATATCTATATGTCAGTAGTGAAGGATATAGGTAATTGTTTCTCTCTTCCCACCCCGGCATCTGTTGTCAAAGGCACATCCTTTCACATGTCAAAAATTTAACTGAAGAAAAACCACAGATGAGAGTTTATAATACAGTTTGAGAGTGCTTAGCAGTATGCAAATTGCTCGTTATCAGAGTTGAATATAGTCTGTATCAAGTGCAGATATATAAAGACCATGTGTAGCTTCCTTTCCTTTCATAATGAAGTCTCTTTTTTGAGTGGTAACAGTGCTCAACCTACATCATTTCAATGTGACAAGGCTTCTGGGCAGCCGTTTGATTGGTGTCTTATTATCCATTGGTGTGCCTGACTTGCATGTATTTCAGCAGTTGCAGTAAGCCATGAATCTGTATCATCACAATAGAGTAACTTTGTTGTGTCTACAATTACCCTTGGCAGAATTAATTTCCTTGGGTCTAATCTAAGTTTGCTAAAGTCAAAAGCAGTCTTTCCACTAAATTCAGTGGGCTTTCAAATCAAAAGCCTAAAACAAAATAAAAATGCCCAGCCAGTGCGCATCTTTCTGTTGCTCATATCCTCCCACACATTCAAAATATAGGTTTCTTGCCAAATGCTGAATGCCTATCTACATTTAAACAGCATTCTCAAGTCACCAAAATATTCCATTTAAGTGCATAGCCTTAGGACTGAAGAATGTTTATGCATTTATCTGGAGTATGCATTCTTCCAAACAATGTACACAGTGTTCATCAAGTACACAGCATCCAGTACCATGGTATTAGTAATTTGGAAACTACTTACCTACCCTCATTCTCGAGGTTCTCCTAGTGAATTTTGAAGGCTGTTAGAAGTCTTGAAAATAAAAGGAGATAACAGCTATGAAACTTGTCTGGAGCCCACTGTTTTCAGTGCTTCTAAGGCTAAAAGGTAGTTTGTTCATTAAACCAATATTCAAATACTTGTGTCATAAGTAAGCAATAGGTAAAATATTTGGTCTGACCTTGTATTATGCAGCTAAGCAAATTATGCATTTGTATGGATGAGTAGAGCACATCGTACTCTTGTGGCATTTCCCAAACGTTACAGAATTCCCTAATAGTCAGATTTCTTGATATGTCTCCGTGAAAGTATCAGCCTAAGGATCACATGATTATTTATTTTGTTATTTATTCTTTCCCAAATAGTTGAAATATGTTATCCTTTGTGCCAAATACAAATAGAACATTACTCACATCCCTGCCAGCAATTGCCTGGCTCTGGCCCTGGCCAGCCTGCAGTCCAAAAGGCTATTTCTGTGGCTTGCTACTGTTTGGCACCTTCTATCCCTTGATTTCTTC